CGATGGAGCAACACTCTCGCTCTCTAATTTAAGTATTCATGTGAAAATGAGCAATGTGTTTGTTGTACTGCTGCTTTAATTCACCTGAGACTGCGACCGTCTGACTGCTCAGTTACGCGCATCATCATCATTACACGTTAGCTGGAGGTGGAAAACACCTCAGCTACTGTGCCGCAATACAAAAGACAAGAAAAAAACAGTGGCACGCCCGCTGAGTCCCCAGTAACGGATGGACATCGTTCTGGAGAGCTAACAGCTGGCTGCCGTAAAAGAGTCATATTATGCCTAACAAGTGAGATCGTGATTGGAGGGGGATGCTAAACAGGAGGGGGATGGACAAAAGAACTCACAACACAAACGCCATTGGAGCCGGCTCCTAGCCATATCAGCAAGTGTGTCCAACCAAACGTGTTCACCGTCCTTAGGACCCCAGCCAGGCAGTCCGGATGCACCAACCGATGCCAACTTCGAAGTGAGGGTTTTCATTTCTCTCGACCAAGTCATCACTTGGCTTCCCCTCCTCCTCTTCCAACCGCACCCACAACGCGCAAACAATGCACGTCGCCGGAGTCGGTGTGCTGGCATGCGCAACACGTGGCCCAGCCAACGGAGCCTGGTGCGTGATATAATGGTGCTGAGCGGTTCACTCGCTCTTCCTGCACCAAATACGCGAAGTCGAACGCGCTCATTGCTCACGCGGTGTTCCCACCAGACATGAGCTAAGCTGCGAAGGCAGCGATGATCGAATGTGACGAGCCTCTTCATGTCTGTCGACCTGATGGGCCAGGTTTCACAACCATATAGGAGAGTTGAACGGACGGCTGCGTTGTAAACTCTGCCCTGAGGGCGAGAGTAATGTCGCGTCTGCGCCACAGGTGGCGGAGATTGGCAAAAGCGCCCAGCCAACCGAAGGAATACAAAAGGCAGGAACTAGGTAGACAGAGAGTATATCTACAAGATAGGTCAGCTCTAGTTATTGGTAACCGAAAGATGCTAATTTTGGAGGTCAAGGTCACCCACACTTCTGCGTCTGGTTTTCAGCCAGTGTGAATGAATTCGGTTCCACGGGTTTCCCACATTGACGGAATAGTTCGATTCCATTGACGCGGGCTTGTATTTGCTGGTCGATCAATTCGTACTCGATTCACAAATTCGGCAGAAAGATCAAAAGTCATACCACGCCCGTGCTGATGACCTTTGCATGTAACAGACAGCCTAGGTGTTCCGCTTACATTTCATGGAGTTGTACAGATTAAAATTTCTAGTTGCTCCCACAATACAGTATTCGGTATTCCGTTGGATCCATGCGTTAAATGGGTCGGAATAACATTCTGGTGTTCTCAGGCTCAAAGTCAGACGACGCTTCAGTGTTCCCTGACAACTGGGACTGATGTTCCGACGAAGCCGTCTTTCGGGCTTCGATAAGGCCAAGCAAAACCCCAGAAATCCATCTACTATTCGGACACTTTAGGCGGGGTAGATAAGCGACCACAAGTGCTTTTTGCATTGCGCATTGAAAGTAATTCCAGTACATATTTGGTTCGCCCACTCCATCCATCAGCGACAGCTGATTGTGTAATCCAGAGTGATATTGCAGTTTCGCAGATTGCGAATGCGGTTGACGAGCAAGCGTGCGCTGTGTGCTTACAACGGGAAACAGGGACTCGAAAGGCGGCTAATACATCCAGCGAAGGACACATTAAGATTGAGTTTAAGCGCTAAGCGGAAGTTAAAACCGAGATTGCGTTGTCAAGGGTAATAATTGCAACCGAAGTGGAAGGCAAGCGAGAGGTACGGTGATCATGCACATCCATATGTCAGTGATACGTGGGGTTAGGGCAGATGGGTCAATCACATTCATATCAAAGGTAGTTGTTGGGATGCAGTGGATGCCACAAACAGAGACGGAACAAGTGGGTGCACGGGGACCGCAAAGGTGACAGAGCATGCAGGAATTCGGTGAAATCTAGCCAAATCCATTTGAACTCTGGTCAAGCGCACCAATGAGTAATTGAGGCCGGAATGACTAGAGTCGGCAAGTTGTCCACTCATGCAAACAGGCGATCGGATCACATGTAGGTTTATGACCGCATGTCTGGCACCCCAGCACCGCGAATACATGCGTCTGCTTGAGTGATTGTAAGCGAGAAATTTTTAGTTTGACATATACTATCTTATGGAGACGTTGAGCCTGAATCTTCCGCACTGTCTTCTTATGTCAACCATTTTTAGTTTTCACCATTACTTGGAGGCACTTTGGTCTTCTGAGTTACGTTTTCTGAGATGAGTCACCCGTCGGACTTAAATAAGGCTTAGTGCTTGCGCTGAGAGGACTGCCTGTCACGTAACCTTGTACTTACACATACACCCAGACACATAAAGGGTGGGAATTTTAAAATGATTCCACTCAGGTAAAGGTGCGGTGATGCTCGAATGAGGACCGCTCTTATCATGAAGTGTCAAGGAAGCGCTGAAGTTTGAAAGTGGGCTCAGTCAGAGATGTGCTTACCTTGGCAGCTCCGTAACAAAATATGGTATTTACCCAGTAAGACGACTGGCTACCCTGTAACAAGAAGACGCGTATTGCCATGGAGGTTACAGTAGAACAAAAACCTCTGGACTCGGAGACAGCCCCGGTTTAATGTAACTCATTCCCAGATGGGGAGGTCACTTTAATTTTAAGGTATAGCCTGGAGGATTTGAGTTCCGAATTTATCTGGTCAACTGGCAACAACAGGTCGGTAGCTCTGAGGCGCATGTCAGTGTCACGCGAAGAATCAGAGGTACGAAAAAGTCCGTAGCAGTGGTTATAGAGATAGAAATCTTCGGATCGGTATGATAGTTAAGCATTGAAAGCCCCACATGAGCGGAGTTGAGAAAATTGTGAAGTGAAGTAGTTTACAACAAACAACAGCACAAAGATCTTCGGAGTATACAATGCAGTAGCAGTTAGAACCAAGATCGGAATAGGAGTTTAAGCGGGGTAAATCCAGGTGGTAGACTGGGATTTGGTGACTTGTTCATAAGACTGCGGTGGATTTGTTCCGGAGCATATTGTTACGAATTGGGTTGAAGAGTAGAAAAGGTTCGGCTCAGACGCATGGAACAAATTCGAATTTCGTTGTGTTGATGGACGAAAGACGAGAGGAGGGGTATTTGAACAGCGCAGTCTGAATGACTGGAGCATAAGTTTGGCGGTTGTTCCAAGAACCAAGCAGCTTTACTGCGCATGGAGTAAAAGCAATTGATCAAAAGGGTAAACAATTAGTTGCTCGCGCCATACGGTATTTGAAAGCGTGGTGGACCTCGCGTTAACTCTGGTTGGGGGTCAGCAGGACGTCGGGATACTGCTTTGCGGATTTACAAGTGTACAGTTGAAATGCGATATTGACAGGTAGATTCAGACACAATCGTGGATCCTACTAACACGAGTCTCTGTCTTACAACATGTGTGAGTTTGCACGGGATACATAATCAGTGACCGTTCCCCCTCAGCGGTCGTATACCGCCTGAAAGCAAATATACAAACTTATTTATTTAAGTAAAAAGGTTCGTGAGTAGGTCACTTCAGATCACTTGCTGTCACTGGAGTAACTAATGATAACAGACACAGTGACAGGAGAACTGGGAGCCTGTTGCTACCCAGACACTGAGATGTTCTAGTCACTCATCTTCCATGTGAATGCAGTGGGACGTGTTAGCTGATGTACAAGGAACAAAGAACGGTGCTCTCGGCTCCCTGTTGTAATCGGATGACAGAAGCTACACGGTTGAGGCAAATAATCAAGTGAATACACCAGTAACTATTGCGTCACGTTCCTATGTGAACTGGAACAAATGCACGACTCTTTGAAGCAAAACAGAGACCTCTAGGGAACCATCCAGGATGCGTACCGAAGTGGAAGATGACTTCGGTTCTGGGTGCGATAAACGGAACTATCAACGCCCACATCACAAAGACGAGTAAAAGTAAGAGCAGATAGAGCGAAGGGTAAACAACGATAAAAAGAACAAAAAACGCGAAAAAGCAACGAATGAAAGATTGGAAAACAGAAGGTGAACGTAACAGCGCTAATGATGCGGTCACTCTCGCGAGTCCCTTAGATAAAGACGATGAACTGTCTAAGGCACAAATGCCAATTACCTACTAGTTGTTGTTACGAAGATGAGTGAATAACTGTGGTTTGCGTATGACGGATGACCACGTAACCGACTCAACTAACTGAATGGGATGAAGTCCGAGTTGTGGTAGCGGCACATATAATGTATTGTAGAGAATGTGCATCTTTTAAGCTGTATCAATCTGCGAAGAAGGTGGAAAGACCGGCCTATGACAAATTTCTAAAGAATAATTAAACAGGAATTAGAGGATAAATTCAATCATATGGAATTGGAAATTGTGACTGACAGATGAGGTTTCCGATAGGGGCACATGCATAGTAACAAAGGCACCACAGACTCGGAGCTCAAATCCAGGCAACACTGCTAAGTTACATAGATCCAACGCAATGGAGGCTTCAGATGAATGCGATGCATCAATTGTTCAGCAAAGCTGTCAAGATAATGAAGAGAAGATGAGGAAAATTATATCGACAAATTTCGATCCAACCCCGTGTTTGGCTCCTTTTGTTGCTTAGCCCCGACGGTTGAATATTGTCTATGATAAAAATGCCAAAGACAAATGGGCAGTCAAAATGCACTCTACGCGACAATATGCTAACGCAACGGAGCAACCCATCCACTAGGCACTTGTTGAAAGGTTCCTGTTTAGCCTGTTGCATGCCACAACTGCCCATCACAAGCGAAAAAGAGAAAATGGCGGGGCCCATAAATATTTACGATGCCGATGGTCTCTTGCATCGAAAGTGACACAATGGTTCCAGCACGATGAATAACTCCTTGGGGACAATGTGGTAACCAGATGTTGCTGATAAGTTGCTCATACAAGTGACTTAGAAGGACAAAGTGTGCGATTCAAGCTACATGAGTAGGAAACCTACCACAACTGCTCGAGACTTCTTGAGCTAACGGATTGCAGGAACAATGTCGAGTCTCCTTCACGATGAAGCATTTGCTGAATGCAGTATTTCGTTCCCGTGAAGTGATGATCGTACCGAACAGCCTGTCAATGTAAGATCAGTCAAAGTAATTAAGTGAAATTGGTGAACCAGTGAATAAACACCGTAGAATTTTAAAACGCTTGATGAGAAAATCGATAGACAGACATACGTGTCGAGTTTGCGACTGAACTGCTAGTGATAGTTCACAGGAGCAAGGCAATGGCACGTTGCACTGAGGAGCGTTGAATATTGCATCCAACAGCAAGGACTCTAAATCAGACAGGTTGTCGAATATCCAGGATTCGACTTGTCGTTGAACTATAACAGCAAACTGTTTACTGCGAAGTCACAACCCGTTGGTTCAGCATTCAGTAAATCAAGCTCAATGTTGGTACTGATATACCGAAATAACAGCCAGTTGGTGAAAAAAAACAAAAAGTGCTGCTAAAAAACCACCTGTGAAAAAAACTAATGCACGAGCCTCAAGTGCCTGCTAGTTGACCACATTCAGCAATGGATTCCGCCTAGTGCAAAGATAGAAGATTAGGTAAATCGAGGATTCACAAGTTACAAATTGAGCTTATGGTCAACAAGTCAATAGCGAATATCTAAGAAAAAATCAATTATCAAATTAAGCCTGCTGCAGACAGACGTATACCCACTCACCAAAGTGAGGTACTCCCGTACAGTCTCGTGTAAAGTGGGCAGGGGTCGCCCGCACGCTGGATTCAGAAAAATGGCTGGATTCCACATGGCAGCACGAGCAACCATCACACCAGAGGCGCCAGTTTGCTGCCTAAAGTACTCGATATCTTCGAAAATGCGGATGGTTTCACGAGAGCCCCCACTAAGGAAAATGGAAGAAACATTGTGGCGTTTGTTCTGGACTTACGATTGACTGCCAAAGGTAAACCAAATTTGTGGAACACTAGTCAAATCAAGTCAATAAAGTGCTTTTTATGCACACAGAACGGGTGAATATTCAGCCGTAACACACATGCTTTCAGCGACGCAGTATAATATAAATTCATCTCAAAAATGTGGATTAACAAGTAAAAAAATAATACTGTCATAGCATAACTTGGCTTGTTAACCCCTGGACAAGTTTGTTTCGGTGTAGCGAAACAAGCGCTAAGGAATAACTGACGAACGATACACTCGTGTTCGGGTACATATGAATTTGTGCTTCTGTCTAGTTGACGAGGTTGACACACATTCCGAGAATACACAAGAAAGTGGGTGTGATGGGGGCTGGAAATGCTGTAAGGCCGATCGAACATCACAGGACAGACCGATAGGGAGTGAGCATGTTGCCGGAAGCAGATTGGTCAGCCAATCAGGAAATAGTTGGCCCGTGATCGCGGCCCGCCTGCAACCACCCACTGAACGTGCTAGTGACCAATCAGGCGCCAGCAGACGAAGGAGCGTATACTCGTGCACCTTTGAGCCAAGGCTTGTGGCATTGGACCGAGGGAAGAAGCGCGCGGGCCCAATCCCGCCAATCGTACATCGACTAAGAAAGTCAAGGTGATTTTAGACAGTGAACGTGGTGAGCAAGCATAAACCAATGGAAAAGGAGCCAGCGACACAATGCAAATAACCGGGATGAGCCATTGAAACGGACTGTTGTAAACAGTGTATATATTCTATAAATATGCGAGCGCAATCTTAATAAAGGACTTCGTGATCGCGGCCAGTCTCCTTGCTTCCCGGAGGGCAACACGACAGTGAGTGAGTTGTGTTGGCAAGTACTGTTGACGCTAGTCTTTTCCAAAAAACCAGCATGTGTGGACACAAGTGTATCAACAGAATTTCACTTTGACACACCGCTGTATCGCACCAAGTGTTTTAATGACCTGGAGATTAATCTAAAGTCCTTAGTCAATGGACAAGGAAAAATCACTGGTGAGCAGTACATCCAGTGTGGAAGAACACAGTTAGAGACAAAACGAAGTATTAAATCAGAGGACAGAGGAAGCTCAGAGGCGTGAGGCGTAAAACGATAACCTCCGGACTGCGGACATTCCGTTTATGTGATCAAGATAAATCGTAGCTAAGCAAGACACCCAAGTACATTGCTGACGTGGGAGAATGGAACCTCACGCCATCTATATTAAGATCCAGGAATTGTTGTAGAAGCTGTTGGCATCGATCTCCCTTGTGTAGTGAAAAAAGGACAGCAATGCAATTTGACACGTGGAGCGGCGGATCGCATGCCTTTGACCAAAACGTGAGATCAGTAAGGATATCTTGAATCTGACAGAATGGACAGTGATCTATCGATCAGCGCCCATGATAATGTCATCTGTAGTTCAGTAGGGTCGCCTCCCCAGGGATTGGTGTAGAGGGAAGTTACGACCACCATCTAAGACTCACCCCTGTCAAACACTTCTACGTTGGTCAGCTCCATCGCCCGGCATGGATCATCCGTGTGCTTGTCTCCTTGTCCATTTTCAGTTCCAACGTTACCTACCATGACATCATTACTGTGTGAGGTAGTGTCCGATTTCCAGTTTATCCACCTTTTATCTTGTTTTCACTCCTACACACAAGTCCCAGTTATGTTCGGCCTTATTGACATGGCGCTATTTCCCTTGGTTTGATCGATTTGTGTGACTCTCACAGTCTTTACAGCTAGGTACATCAGACTTTGTCGCAGTAGTTTCATTAGCGGATGCATACCATTGGCAAATTTGGATTCTTACCATAAGCTCTGCGGGTCGCATTATGATTCCATTGTTTCTTTCGCACGTATGAACTCACCGGTCGCTCGTGGATCTAAGCGCGCATTGTTGACATACTTTTGAGTTTGGAAATTACTATTTTGATACGATGAATTTGTACAAATAGCACTGTTATCTCAGGTCCGGACTTGGTCTTTTGTTGAATATTCCGGTGGGAAACGCGTGGCTTAAACGTCCAAACGCCTTGTAGCGTTACAATTGGTCTTACGCTGGCATGATTAAAAAAAGAAAAATAGTGATAAAATAGCTCCCTGAAGAAGACCGGTGTTTATGATTAGGGGTGAGGAGCTTCTGCCACCAAATCAGGCAACATGAGATAGGCCGGCAAGGTAATTCCTCAACACAAAAGCGATGGAAGGAGGTATCCCAGCACCGAGTTGATTTATCAACCACAATTCGCCGTTTACATAGTTGAATGCATTGCAGTAGTCCAGAATACATACTCGGGTGAAATTGATACCGTTGTCTTGAGATAAGAAGACCGAGTGCGCAAGGCAAACTACTGGGCCTTCGTTTGATCTTAAACTGTTGCAGACGAATTGACGAGAATCAGTTGAGAACTTTTGTGACAGCATCTTCTCAAGAATAATTTTTAAAATATCTCTAAGAATACCGAAGTACAGAATATTGGTCGACATTTGCTTGAGCCCTTTTTTGGTATTGGTGTGATATTGACGCCTCTCCAGCCGTCGGCAATTTTGTTGTTGTATCCTCAACGTATATAAAGTAGCCAGAGGTTCGGCGCAGAAGTCAGCACATTCCTTGAGAACTACGGGAGACTGTCTGCTCAGACTGCAGGCTTTCCCTGAGTTTCAGTAAGTTGTGGACAGTGCCACTGTCGACGGGGAGCAGTGAGTCTGCAGACAATTTAGGGTGGGCAAAGTATGAGTCAGAGATCGGATAGTTGCAGCAGTTGCGGAGGTCAAGATTAAGTATTTTCCCATCCACGTCGGAGGTTGATGTATGTCAAGTAAGCCCGCATAGTTGTTTCAACATCCGCCAGAGTATATCCTGAAGGTGCAAGTAGTTGAGACGGCGCAACTCCTCCTTAATAAAGGAAGAGCGATCTTACTGAGGTGGTATGTATGCAGTGGACTGCATTCTACTGCTGAGACACCTGAGGTGGCTCGGTCATGTGAGTCGTATGGATTCGACGCGGATACCGAAACAACTCTTATACGGTCAGCTGAGTATTGGGAAGCGGCATCTGGGGAAACCGAAGCTTCGTTACCAGGACATGATCAAAGTGAGCCTCTCACGTTCTAATCATGATGGCAGGTCATGGGAATCGAAAGCGGTAGATCGGCGTGCATGGTGCGATCTTATCACAAAGGCACTTGCCGAAGTGCGGGAGAAAGACCTCATACATGCAGGGAAGAAGCAGCAAGTGCGGAAGCGGCAAGCACCGATGGGTTGTACTCCATCGACATCGAGCGCATGGTGCTGTAGCACATGCGATCGCGAGTGCCTGAGTCAGGCAAGCCTAGTGAGCCATGAGCGAGGCCACTCGGGAGCACCACCGAAGTGACGACGGGTCCTGCAGAGAACCTAGGCAGGCGTTTGTAGGTACGCTGCATTCGATTTACTAACTGCGTGCTTGCATGCTAAGTCTATTTATTTCAGGTGATGGATTTGTAATTTTGTAGTAAAGATTATCGTTCTCATATTAATGCCTACCTGTACTGTCTTGCATAATCTTGCACACGTCGCTTAAGCCACTTGTAGTTAACTTCGATAACATTTTCGAATTTGTGGCATTTTCTTAAAATATATTCGCTCACCTCTTTAACTTATCACGGAGACTATCGTAACCATTTTCTCTACACCTATTTAGTGAAGAGTTATGCCGCCGTATCTGTATGCATTATCCGATTTATTTTATTCCATCTTGTCGTTTCAAGTGATTGGTAGTTGTTTGACATCCCAGGTGTGGCTGCGCTTGATGTGCATGTCGACAAGGTGTCTACCTGTCTATTACCCACTACCTCATCCATACTGGCTCCAGGAGACAGTTGGTCGTTGCTGGAGGGGACGGGGTGCACGGTCCTTGTGGTCGTGCTAGGCTCGAAGAGTGGTTCCATGCAGTCAGTGTGGAGCGGACTACGGTCCAGACACCGCCATGTGTGCGGTTGATTTCCCAAATACATAGTGCTCGTGTTTGTCTGTGAAGGAGTGTGGGCCGACTCCGTTGATGAAACGTGGCTCCCATCCACATGCCTCCCGGTCTTATTCTTTCGGGTTTACACTGGATATGGGGTGTGTGGTTGGAGCTGTGGGTGGTGCAGCGCAAGCCACCCATGGTCCTTCTGTAGGCGCAGGCGTCCTGTGGCTGGCTACAGTGACAGGCAAATCCGAAACCGGATGCCAACAAGCATGTTACGCACCAGATAAAACGCAGTCTGTGGCAGCAAATACTTCAATTTGGACAAACATATGTGCATATGTTGCATTCAAATTACCGTTAGACACGGATTACGTCAATCCATGTATATATGTGTCCCGAATGAATTCGACGAGGATACTCATACCGCTTTTGTACGGCCAGCTTAGTGCAGGGAGGCGGCACTCGGGTAAACCGAAAATAACATTACCTGGACATGAACGAGGTGAGTTTATAACAAACTAATGTTGTTCTCAAGTGTTGCGAATCAAAGGCAAGTTGATCGATGCGAATTTAGTGAACTGATCATTAGGCGGTTGCTCAAGTGCAGGAGAAAGCACTATTGCATGTGCAGGAGAAGCGCGATGCGTCCGTTCCCATACAACTTTCTAATCCAGGCCAGCAAGGCGGCGGATGTGGTACGTTTGCCGGCGTGTTGAGTATTCTTGCATTTCAGAAGTTAGATGCGGATTGAGCTCCCCGATGTGGCTGCGACTGTTGTGAATGTTGACAAGGTGCCTATCTGCATAGTACCCACCACCTCGTCCATACTGGCTCCAGGAGACAGTTGGTCGTTGCTGGAGGGGACGAAAGGTACCGTCCTCGTGACGGTGATAGGTTCAAAGAGTGGTTCCATCTTGTGTGGAACGGGCTACGGCCCAGCCATCGCCTTGTGTATGTCTGGTACGCATGATTCCCAAAATACAACGTGCTTGTGTTTGCTCGTGATGGAGTGTGGGCCTGCTCCGTTGATGAAACGTGGCTCCCATCCACATGCCTCCCGGTCTTATTCACTTGGGTTTACACCGGATATGGGGTGTGTGGGTGCAGCGCAAGCCACCCATGATCCCTCTGTGGGCACAGGCGTGGTATGGCTGCCCCCGTGGAGACAACAGTGACCGGCAAATCCGGACAAGGATGCCGCCAATGCATGTTACGCGCGTACGACCACGGCCAGCCGCGGACGAGAGCTGGAGGGTTTGCACCAATTCGACCAGGGGCTGCCTGACTTGAGGCGGGCAGTAACAAACCATTGAGCACTCGAAGGAGCCCTCCCATCGTCAGAGTCAATGCGTGACGCTCGTGCTTTAGGCCGATCGAGCTGTGGGCTTATAACCCTCCCATGGCTAGGTTTTATGGGAAGAGGGTCATCGAAGTCCCCCCCCCAAGCCTCTGAAGTAGATTGCGAGATTGAGTTAGTTGGAATTCTAACCATCGACCTGTCTGGTATGAGTGGCTCTGAAAACACTTGGTAGGCGCAACCCAGCGTAGGTCAGTGGGTCACGGGGGTACGCGAACCATCGCACCACGGTATGGTGCAGCCTCGTTGCGATAGGGAGGCACCAGCACAAGGTAACGATGTTCTACGGATGCTGCTGATGATTCGAGGGGACAGAAATGGACTAACAACAAAAGTATGATTATGACGATTAGAAGATAGTTCGGCTATTGGCGGACAAAAAGAAGAGAGCGGGACTCCCGGTGAAGGCTTGTAAGGTAGTAGTAAAACGCTACCTAGCTGTTTTCAGTTGGAAGAAAGATGGGTTGGGATTCATACTGTCGCAATACGCCTCCAAGATTTTTTATTCAGGGGCATTAAGTCGGCCAAACTGAGGTGAGAGAGAAACCAGTATGGTGGATGATGAGTTGTTCAGGCATTGTAACCCCAAAACACACAGATTACTTTGCAATCACTGGGATTGAAACCGTTTCGGAAATTGCACGAATGACCTCGTCGTGATTACGAGTTCCAGACCGCTCCGCTGGGGTACGAGCGTGCACAGTTATGGCTGCGACACCCGTGTTTTCAATGATTTTGGCAAGTGCCAATGTATCTTGCAGCTGCGTAAGACGATAGATGGAAAAGCGGGATGTGAAATTGCAGAAACAAGGCATACCAACTAAGGTGCAATAAACGCAGAAGCCCTGAAGCTCACCTTGGGTAAGATCCGAATCTTGCAGGTCACAGGGACGCTAAGCGAGTTGACGAGGCAGGATAGGATCTGGTATAAAGGCGTGGCAGGTACGGTTACGACGTGTGTCAATGAATTAGTACGAGATGAATAATTGTAACGGATGCGTAGTTGCAACGGCATTGCATAATGTAGGAACTGATCACCACCAAAATACACTTTAACCAAATGTGCTTGAAAAGTAAAACAGCGATTGGTACATACCTTCTTCACTTTTTCCGGTTCAGTGAGCAGCGCAGCGCCCATACCACCCTGGAAAATAAAAAATGTCGACGCATTGTTGCGTTTATGATCACGTGACGCAAGACAAGCATGATCAGGGGCAAAGCAAACCGACGCGTTACGAAAAATAGGAAGTAACTTTATGGAAGAGTGATAATCACTTTGGGATGAGAAGTGTACCACTGACAGTGTTGGACAGCTTCTATAATCACACGTACAATCTGCTGCCCTGATTACATGGTTCATTCGTGTCCAAAACATCTTCAACTCAATGCAGGCAACCCGAGCTGGTGTCTATGAACGTTGGGGATTCATTGGTTGACTTCTCGCCCTATTGTCAACAGCAGTAGTGTATCACGATTCTGTGCTGATTCTCCTCGACATACGTACGTAGATTATGACGCGAGAGCTAACTGCCCCACACAAGCATTCAAGCTTTGATTCAAGCTGGATTTTCACTGTATTGCCATCCCAATAAGCATAGCTAACGCGCTCCAGTGATACGCCTCCATCATCACTCAAAAATGTAGCCAATCTACTTGTGGTTACGCTGACCACTATATCCAAATTAATGGGGAGCACAACAGAACAACCGTTGAAACGATGGTTGACAACAATCTCCTGTTTCTCAAAAGGCCAATGAACGCCTTGCGAGATTCGCCGATGCAACAGTCAATTTTCCACTGTCTCCAGACAGCTCGCAAATATCATATCTTGATGAATACCTAGTCGTTCTGAAAATTCAGCGATGAAAAACCAAACCGGCCTTTCTTATGGTAGATGTTGTATCGACAATTCAGGTTACTGAACAATGCCATTTATACAGACGACCTGCCGTAATACTGTTGGTTGACCTGGAGAACTCCTTTGATTCGCCGGATCGCATCTCTCCTCGGCACTATCCACTTCGAAAGATATATAAGGGAAATGTTTCTAATCTGAAATCACTTTTCCGCAACTTCCATTGGCCTTTGTGAGGGTCTACAGGAATCTCTCTGACTGAATGATCGGCTAACTCAGAGTACGCGGGCAATGTTGCCCATCTAGAGTCGGACCCAACTGTTCTTTCACCTCTAATGGTCACATCAGTGAAGAAATTGTCGCGCGTGTCCGTATGGCCCATATGGTTTTACAAATGCGTGCAACTCTTTGGTGTGGGATATTGGAGCGTACAACTCAGTAGCTTGACCGGGGTTACTGTGTGGTTCAGAACTATGACCACTGCGTCACGGAAGTCTCAAAAGAGTGGCTGTTGTTGGCCACTAGTGCCTACGTACACTCTCGGTACTATTTAGTACAGCCACATAGTGAGCGATGCTGTAGCCTTTGCCTGAGGAAGCATTAGCGTCGAAAGCAAAGCGTCATGCGCGCAACAAATACAGCAACCGGTCATTCACCACCACGCTTTCTGAAATGATGACTTCGTGATATTCCAAGATATCGGCTCACGTCTTTGCGTTTAAACCATCTACGTCAGTTATGCCCTTAGCGTGTGTTCTTTTCGGGCCTTGGGATTAGTTGAATGAAACCCAAACGAATGGCGCCAACAGAGAGACGAACGAGATAACTAAAGTGTCCGAGGGATGTAATCATCCCGGAAGCTACTGTTCTTGCGCTTATCCATCACGGCTCCGTTGATTAGATCTGTGGATCGAGCGGTCAAGAGCGCCATTGCATGTGTTACATCGATTCGTGTACTTCATCGACGGGGATGTGTTTTGATGTTGCCTTGATTTTTTCTGTCGCTCGTTGTGCTTCCGTGGTCGCAAATGGCTATGCCGCATTTCGGTGCCAAGACCACAGCTGACAAGCTGAACTTGACTGCCTAATAATCTGTATGTTATTTACCGTGCCGAAGTACGAAACATAAACAAGGTAGAACTAATTTGACTCCTGAGATTAAGGTTGACAAAGATGCAGCAAACTAAGGAAAATCTTCGCACCTTGATGGAATAATCCTTTGGGCAGCCCATATTTATGTCTATGGCCAGAACATCGTTTTCTCTGGGGGGAGTGGAAGTAATGATTAGTTACAAAGTACTGCGTACGTACAACATTTTAGCTGCTTCCACAGCGAATTTTGCATCTGAGGTTCCCTAGGGGAAAAAGTTACCAATTGTTCTAACAGGCACCAAACCAACTGGGCAATGATGCGCCCGGATTCTTCACTTGATGTCCTGAACACAACTGACCCGTCGGGAAGCAAAAAATCCGTTGTGTTGTTTACGACTAAGGAGATGATGTCTTTATGCAAATCAATTACTGTTGACGATACGAGTTGACCTCATAATGCGCTGATCTATAAGTTCCTGAAGTAAAAAGAGGGGAATAAAAAATCCGATGAGTCATAAAGTGAGCAAGTAGTAGACCTATGATCACAATGTTAAAATCACAACAAAAGTCATCAAACCTTAGTTCAAGCTTTGCATCGAGCAGTGAGTGCACTTAATTTCAAACATAAGCGTTGATTAGGGTAGGTGCTTCGTGTGTCTACTCACCGCTTACTGATAAGGGCTCTTTTACTGAACGTATAGTAAGGTATGATGGCGAGAGAAGCCTAATTGGCGGTGCAAAATAGTCACTGACCACTAGAAGAGGCGCCATTGGCTTGTCTGCTTAACTAGACTGGAGTCCACGTGTTTGGTTCGAGAAGTTCCAGGTCCTGGCTCGTATCTAGCACCAGCGGTTTGTCCTCAGCTACATACAGGCTTGACTACTCGTTCAAAATGTCTCATATTAAACTATCTGTGGTATAAGGTCATTTATAGCGCAGGCCGCAAAATATCCATTCCGCTAACGTCGCACTATATTCGCACGGTAGCTGGTTGACTGCGGCCGTATATTATTGACAAGTTGCAGATCTCTAGACTCTAGATGTTTGCACAGTGCGTTTTGTGATAGGTTCCCCTTCACTTACTCTTACTAACCGCCATTACGAAAGTCATCATGGCAGTGTGGCAGCGAAGCCCAAGCACACATCACCGATGTGCTGCTGTTGTTGATGGTGACGATGATGATCACTTATCCCAACTGAATGGGAAGTCATTCATTCTGGAGAGGAAGGGGAAATTTTCCGTACTTCTAACCAAAGATTGCTGACACAGGTTAGACACCCGGCTAAGTTAAGTCGTTTAAACTACCTAACAAGAGATTTTACAAGTGATGGAAGCATACAAGCAAACATATCAATAGCTAGCGAAATTGCTGCGATCCGACCGTGTGTAGATTTGGTGTTCACAAAAAGAGTGATCCGTAAACCTCTGGACCGCTTAACTATGTACGCTTCATTAGTCTCAGACCCTCATTGTTTGCAAACCCTTCAGAAAGCATGAGTTTTAAATAGGTTCCAATACTGTTTTAAAGAGTTGAATCAATGTAAACTTTATTAAACAAAACCATGTCAACAAACGAGAATGTTTACTGACCTCGCAGAAGACATAATCAGCGCCGTTTTGCAAAGCAAGCAGCCGCATAGGATGCGTAGATATCCTAACCATTGGGGCAAGTATAATCTTCCCGATGGGACAAAAACTTTTGGTCGTCTACAACAATATGGACGGCAGAACACAAACCAGTGTGAAAGATAAGGATGATAAAGAAAGGATTGAAAACCTTGCTTCATTCCACACTAGACCATTTATTAACCTATAACAATTTTCCAAATCAACGAAAAGCTAGCGCTAACCGTTCTTGCGCATTTTACCTTTTGGACATGTGTGTGTTGTGCGTCCACAAAAAGCATGCGAGAACAAAATAGCGCAACGAGTTTCTCGGATTAGTTGGTTAACATCCCGGCGTATTCGTTGCATCTCCAATGTAGGAGGCCGAAAGGACTGCGAGCCTCCATTGCAATCCGGAGGTCGCAGGTTCGAATCCGCGTCGATGCGGACGACGTCGAGGTACACCTAATCCACGCACGACTGTGGGACATCGCGTGATAGCGTAGCGTCGATACGGTGTGCCAGAGTACTGGTGACGCCCTTCATTCAGCTGATGTAGAGTGAGTGGGCAGAGGCGTAGACCGTGCTTCAGTTGCCCACAGTTAGTGACAAAAACCAACTTAGCCCTATCAGTCTTCAAAATGTTGTGTGGATTCACGGCTACTGGTAAGGGAATCCCTGACACATGATAACCAACCCCAGTCCTCTGCACGAGCAGTAGCCTACATGGCAGTAGAGAGTAGGTCAGGTTATATCGCAGTTAGATCTCAATCCATCACGGTCAGCTTTTGTGCACCATGGCTCAGTGGTGTAAGCTGCTGGCTAGTGAGGCTAGCCACTACCGGTCATAGGTTCGATCCCCAACAGAGGACCGAGGGAATGCACACCACTGAGAAGTCACAAAGTGACGAAAAGATCGTCTGGTGTTTTCCCGGATTGGTAGCTAACCTGTCTGAATCGTAATGCAATTGCGATGAACTAATCAAATCTTAGGAAGTCCCTCTACTCACAAATGATGAAAGGCTAACTTACCCCAAAACTACCCCACTTCGATTCAGGGTTGTGCTTCTATCGTCCAGAAATGAGCTTCGAAATTCGCTTCAGTGATACGAGTTACCTGAGACTGATCATCATCATCATCAGTGCACGTCAACTGAGAAACACACCACAGCTGATGTGCCGCAATCTGAGACTGAAAACGCAAATGAAATAGCCCACATTTTCTAATACAACTAATGAACGCTTCACCAGCTAATCGACAACCTGGTTTCAGGCTGGGCAGACAAGCAGCCTTAATAAGTTTCTTCACAATGCATTGGAGACAGTTTCTGTTGGTAACAGCTGATAATCCAGTTTGCTTGGTAAATACTGAGTCCGCAAGTGAGCTCCAAGTATGCGCACAAAAAGCATGGACGGAAACTAGACCGACTCATCATCATGATGAACACAGGCCATGAGTAAATGAGGTGAGACACCTCAGCTGTGCGGTATTCATTCATCATACGCGTAAGCCACGTGACAGAAAAACTCGCTATGGTACCGCAATGCAACTCAATTAAATGGCAGCAAAAACAGGAAATAGAAAACAAAAGCTTAACAAAAGAGAAACAGTATTACATTCAGCATTACATACTATGCACTGACGATATGGTGGTTGGAGAGGGAGTCAAAACGGGAGGGGAACGAAAAACTCTACACACAAAAGCCATTAAGCTCTAAGCTTCGCTATGCTAACAAGTGTATCCAACCGAACGTTTTCAATTTCTTTCGGAACGCATCAACCCAGGCCAACTTCGAAGTGGGCTTTCATTCCTCTTGATTAAGCCATCGGCTGCTTTAGCCTCCTCTTCTTCCATCCAAACCTCGGTCGCAGGAGTCGGTGTGCTTGCATGCGGAAGACATCGCCAAGTATTCGGACCATAAAGCGTGAAATAACAGTGCCGAGTGGCTTCCCTAGCTCTGCTTGCACCATACGCTGAACACGCTCATTAATCAAACAGCGTTCCCACCAGATATGAGCTAAACTGCGAAGGCACCGGTGGTCTAACGCTACTAGTCACTTTATGTCTGTCGATGTGATAAGCAAGGTTTCAAAATTGTACAGGAAGACTAAACGGACGGCTGCAACGTAGAATCTAACCCTCGTCAGGGTGAGAGCCATGTCACACCGAAGCAAAAAGTGGCGAAGATTGATAAAAGTACTTCGAGCTTCTGCTATACGGTTCGTGATCTCATCTTTTATGTCACGGGCGCAGATGCAAATGCAGGGGTAGTTGAACCTCTAAACAACTTGTAGCTGAGTACCAGCAAGGGTTGGCGTAGAGAGCGAACCCTGAAAACCTTGAAGGAAAGTTTCCATTTAGACAGAACAAAGCACATCCCCAAAACAGCTGACTCCCAATGCTAGTCTGCCCAAGGCCGTTTGGTAAGTGCGCTGTCAGAGATAAGGGAAATATGACCGGCATACTCGAAATAAGAAAGTTGAATTTCTGAATGCAACTCTACACCTCCTAAGTCGTCTTGTGAACGCAGTTTCGATGACTTCATTCTTACAATTACACACTAGCTGAAGGTAAGAAACACACTTCAACTATTGCCCGCAGTACCAAGGGAAAAGATATACGAAAAAAGGAGATATGAAACAGTATAGAACACAAAAAACGAACAGGTAGTACACATTTTAGTGACGTAAGATACCTCAAAAGAGAGATCATGCTTGGAGAGGAAGATAAGCGGGATGGAGAGCAGCAAATAAACTCACAACATAAATACTATCGAAGTCGGCTTCTCGCCATCTCAACCAGTGTAGGCAGCTAAGAGTGTTCATCGTCTATGGGACCCCAGCCCTATAATCGGGACACACTAACCGACGCCAATTTCGAAGTGAGGCATTTCATTTCACTAGACCAAGTCATTGCTTGGCCTCCCATCTTTTTCCATCAACGTCCATGGTACGCAAAAAAACGCAAGAGTCGGTGTGTCGGCATGCGCAACACGTGGCCTAGCCATCGGGGCCTGGTGCGTGATATGACGGCATTGAACGGTTCACTCGCTCTTCCTACACCAAATACGTGAGGCCAAAGACACTCCTTGCACACGAGGTGTTCCCGCCAGACATGAGCTAAACTGCGAAGACAAGTGTCTTCATGTCTGGTGACCTAGTGGGCCAAGGTTCATAACCGTAAGTGGCTTATGAGGCACTGCGAAGCAGGCCCCCGAAGCCGCACTGATGATGTTGCCTAGTCAGGCAGCGAAACGTCTGCACAATAATCACTCAGTTCGGAGAACAGCTTAAAATCCGCATCCACACCGAGCTACGGATATTTTCATATAGTTCAAGAGGATTTAACGCACGACTGTTATAAACTCCGCCCTTCAGGGCGAGAGTGATGTCACGCTGGCAACATAGGTGGCGGACATTGATTAAATTCACCTCGAGCTTTTCCTATGCGGTTTGCTTTCATACCTAATCCACCGGCGTAGATATAACTGCCAAGGAATTTACATTTCCGGACGACTTCCAGCTGAGTCCCACCAAGGGTCAAAGCAGGTGTGGGTCCCTACCAAGCTTGGAGAAGGACTTTGAATTTCGACGATGCAAAGCATAGCCCAAAACAGCTAACAGTCAAATACTAATTTGTCCAGTGCCAATTGGTATGTTTGAAAGAAGTCACATAAGGGCAATGTCGTCGGCGTACTCCAAGTAAAAACGCCGATCACCCTGGAGCTGCTCCACGTCTTGCAGGTCTCATTCAGTGAACGCAGTCTCCATGATGATGATAAGTTAAGAAAGGAAAAGCGAAAGCGGCTGTGCGTGTCTCATATCGCTGGAGATACCGAAGGGCGCCGGCAGCTTGAAGTAAGTCCTCACACTGCCCGGACTGCGCGTATAAACCGCACTGATAATGTTTACCTATTTTACGGGCACACGTTTCCTGAGTAGAGTCCAAAGGGGAACATCGGTTAACAGAATCGAAGGATGCTTTGATGTTGAAGAACATGACTATGGTAGATCGCCAACAAATATGGCGGAGCTCCAAAGATTGACGAAATGTGAAGATGTGGTCAATACAGCAGCGATTTCGACTAAAACCAGCTTGACGCTAACGAACCTTGCCTTCACAGGTGCCAGCCAGTCTGGAGCACCACAGAGGCTAGCAATTAAGAGGCAAATGAGATCAGACTGATCCATCTATGATCGCCGCACTCGGAAGGGGAGACTAATCTGAAAATTGAGACTATAATGGAGCGGATCCAGTCTGTTAGGAAAAACACCCGCTCCAATAGATCAACCAGTACGTTATGTAAGTCGTCCAAGAAAGCAGGTTCTCCGAATTTGAAGAGAGTTGGATGAAGTCCATCTGCTCTTGCAAACTTGTTCAATTTTAGCCGTCTAATCACACGTTCGATTTCCGTGCATGAAGACGGTTCCAGGGGACAACTCTACGAGCAGAGCGATTATTGGCCGATGGAGAAGCTGACAACTCTGACTGAACTGATTCTCAAAGTGTTCGGCTAAACGCTTCAAGCGCTTTGACAACCTGTGGAATGGATGTCCACTCTTGTCGTATACGGTCCCTCTAACACCAGATCTTTTACTGCCCGTTTCTCGCATCAGACGGGATAACTTCCGATGGTTACCGAGCGCAGCGGTTGTCTCCATCGAGACACGATGAGGCCACCACGCTTCGCGGTTTCTCTTCAGGCTAGCACGCAGTTTGGTCCTGAGGCTTTTACCAGTCTCATTGTGTTCGCTTACAGCCGGAACACGTCAACGAGCATCCATAAGTTCCAGGGACTGCGTAGAGACCCATTGAGCAAGTTGGCGATCTAAGTGGACACGAAGAGATGTCTGCTGCTAATAACGTCCGGTGAAAATGCGACCGGTGATCTTAAACTGTGTTCAGTGAGCGCTTAGTCAGTTCGGATGGCAGCTTACTTGGATATGCAGTCAGAACATTTGACATAGCCAACTGAAAGTTATCTATGCGTTCGCAGCGCCGTCGCGGACGACCACCGAAACTCCTCCGCAAGTCGGCGCAAACAAGTGCGTGGTCAGAGTCCACGCTCGTAGTCCAAATCGAACGACAGTTTTGAACTCAT